ATTTGCCAAATTTAATTCCCTCCAAATTTCCCGCTATATGGTAGCAAGAGTAAATAATGGGGGCACCCCATTATATACTCTTGACGGTGGTATGTCATCATTGGTAGCGTACATTAAAAGAGCCACCTATAGTGTGTAGTATTGCTTTTGAGGAATGAAGATATGGACTAGACAAATTATAGATATGAATATTGTGTTCATCTACATTAACTGGAGAAACTATTACAATATAGTGGCCACATTGTTTGCAATATCCTCATTCAGCACTGAGTAATATACATGCAATAAGTAGGTAAGAATACTGCAGTATTATAAAGAGTTGCATTCAAATTTCAAAAGCCTTTTGTTTTAATTATATTAGCTGTACACTACTACTAATATTAACATGTTATTGTTTATTGTTTAAAGTATCTTATCAGTCGTAGCGTAGACTAAAAGGGCCACCTTGTATGTAGTATTGCTTTTGAGGATGGGGCCTAGGCTGGTAGATATGAACCCTCCGTAATCCTTTTTCTTTAATTGGAGGGACAGTGATGTTATAGCAACGAGTTTTATTATTTGGCTTCACTTCACAGGCCAAACCATCAGTGATATCCTCTCTTGGATTAGTAATGACAGCTTTTAGTTCTGGCAACACACTTTCAGGTGCTGCAGGGCCACCAGAAATATCCCGACACTCTAGAGTAATAACTACACCGGAATTGAACTTATTTTGATGATGCTTCAAGAAAGCAAATTTCTTGACACTTGGTGTACTGTAGATTTTCCCAAACATTTTAGCAGGAAGGTCATCATTGCTTGGCTTCAAATACAGCTCATCATCATCTGCTGGTGATAAGTCAAAGGTACTGTAGCGGTCATAAAGGTAATCTAGTCGTTTGGTTAGCTGAGTCTTAAGAAACATAAACTCAGCTGGATTAGCAATATTAGAGAAATCCCTAATGAACTCCAAGCTGTCTTCCAGAGTCTCTGTTACACGTTTCAATACTGCCTGGTGATCATCAATCTCTTTCTGTTTGAGGTCACAGATAAGATTAGCTTTAGCTATTGCTTTATCTTTCTCAACAGTTAGCTGTTGCACTAATTGATTGTATCTATCGTTAAGGGCAGCAATAGCATCATCACGCTTTGTTTCCAAGCTCCTTTTGACATTTTCTCCTCTATTTTTAGCATCTTTAAATGTGTCTTTCAGCCTCTCAACTTTCTGTTGTTCTTTTAGGCTTTCCTCAAGAGCCTGCAAATAACATTCATCAACATCATTAACCAAACAATCGGTGCTACAATCAGTGGCGGATCTGGGTGCAAGTTGATGGTAGGGCCAGGAAGTGGGTGTGTCCACTTTTCAACCAGTCATTTTATGGTTGGCCATTTTTATGATGGGTTTCAACAATTTCCTTATCTATGCAGTGCTTATAATGCTCTTCAAGCACTTGTAAGTACTCTGGTGTGGCTTGTGGTTTGCTTTATCAAAACTTGAGGCAGGGAATTGTTTACATTGCATCTAATGAATCTCATTACTGACTTCTGATGCCCGGGCCATGGCCCGTCTAGGCCCGGGCCCAGATCCGCCACTGGCTACAATGATGAATGGTAGAGCATTTATGACACATTAATTCACAATGAGTGTGACAATACATATCTACAAGATGCTTACGATGCTTAGAGCAAGGCCACGTTTGACGATTCATACCTTTCCACCAATCTTTCTCAGGATCAATCTTATTGACTTGATGATCCTCTGTATCTTCCTGCCTTCTGTGTGCTTCTCTGCAAAAATCACAAAGAGGAATATTGCCACATTCTTTGTTGTTACAGATCCATTTGGCAATATCCTTCTTGCACTTCTGACACTCCATCTTTCCTTGAGGCAATTTCTCTTTAAGCTTAGCTGCATGAATGATATTAGACAATGGCCTGTTAACTAAACCCTGTACATCATCACCTGAATCACAATCATGAGGAGCTGTCAAGTTCTCTTTTTTATGAGGTACAAACCTTTCTTCATCTTCCTGAGCACCAGCCTCCCTTTCTCCTTCTTCTTGATTCTCATCTTCTGACACCATTCCTTCTTCTTCATCCTCGCCTTCTTCCTCACCAGCTCTTTCTTCTCCTTCTCTTTGACTTTGTACCACAACATAACTCTCTGTTGATACTGATTGGCTTTCTCTAGCTATAGCGCTTTCTTCTCTCTTTCTTTTTTTCTCAGCAGCTTTTTGAATGAAACAATCAGGGCAGTATGTATGAAGGCAGGATAGCATGATAGGATCTACATAGCTTTTATTGCATTCCTTACACTTGAGGTGTCTTTGACAGAAAGTCTCTACATCAAAACTGGATTTATTGATGGAAGATTCCTCTCTCTCAATAGCTGGCTCTTCTAATGCTGCCATTTTGTAAGACTGCTGCAGATCTTGTAACAAAAAAGGGCGAGATGGAGGGCAATATTATCTATGGCTACAATGAGAACAAATGGCCTGAGGGGAGGGTTGTTATTTTAGTGGTATATATAAATGGGAAGGACAGACAGAAAGCAGACATGTGATTTGATGGGAAATTCCATTGCATCATTTATAACAAATGTAGTCAGCTATAAAAATGGAATGGCATAAATGCTGATATTGAATTCAACACTTAGCACATGCTTGTAGTATTACTGCTAATAACATTAAAAGTATGTAACATTATTAGTAGTATTTTTACAGTTTACACATGCAAGTTATCATTGGTAGTGTACACTAAAAGAGCCACCTATAGTTTTGTAGCATTGCTTTTGAGGAAATGGACTAGGCTATTCATCTACATTAACTTGAGGAACAATTAGAATATAGCAGCCATTATTATGATCTGGGTTTGCTTTGTAGACCACTGGCCACATCATTAGAAATATCTAGTCTGGCAAGCCAGACTAAGAAATGTCCCTGTGTCTGTGTAATATCATATAGATCTACAGACACTCATACAGAGCCTGAAAATACATTTAAACAATGTTCAAACGTTCTGTCTGCATATATTGTTTAATTTGATCTGCCAAGGTTTCCCATGTAGAGGATTTTGGCCAAGCAGTATGTATGAAGGCAGGGTAGTATGATAGATCTATATAGCTTTTATTGCATTCCTTACACTTGAGGTGTCTTTGACAGAAAGTCTCTACATCAAAACTGGATTTATTGATGGAAGAGCCCTTTCTGTCATTAGCTGGTCCTTCTATTGCTGCCATTTGTAAGATTGCGGTATCTTGCAACTAAAACAAGAGAGATGGAGAGTTACAATTATAAACGAAGGACCTGAGGGGTGGGTTCTTATTTATGTGGCAGGGAAGCCAGGTCAGCAGACAAGGCAGGTGAGGAGGCATACGATTCTTAAATATTGTCACTCATTGTCTTGGGAAATTCCATTGCATCATTTATGAATTGGCTAACAAATGTATGAGCAATTTGAGCATATGGTTTAGAATAATGTAAAATTCTGAGTCATTACACTGAACACATACTTGTAGTACTAATGCTACATGTAATAATGTTAACTGCATACAGGCTGCATATATCTCTCTTGTAACTGTACAATGTGGAAATGGGTGGGCCTGATGGGGTGCGGTTTAAGCATAGATATTAGAGTAAATGTTTAAGGGGAGGCTTTTGTTTTGAAGTTCAACTTGTTTTAATGGCAGAATATGATGGCAGCATGGTAGAGCCTAAAGAGGGCACACATGACCAAGAAGAGGGCACACATGACCAAGAAGAGGCTGACAAACCTACCTTTGATGTAAATCATTTCTGCGAACGATTTATCGTGTGTAAGCAATGCAACAAAACCTGTGAGGACCCTGTTATGCTATCCTGCCTTCATACGGTCTGTTTGGATTGTCAGAGAGAAGCCATACAAGCAACTCAAAGGGTGGTACAAGCAACAGATGAGGTTCAAGGAGATTTTGGTAGTGGTCTTGAAGAACGAGATCAGAGTCAACACAGTGATGAAGGAGAAGTGGACAGTACTGATGAAAGCGAAGCGAGTTGGGTTCCTTCTAAAAACGAGAATTTGTTGTCTCCCCATGAATGTGATATTGAGGAAGAAATTTCACTTGTTAGCAGGCCATTGTCTAATATCGTTCATGCAGCTAAGCTTAAAGAGAAATTACCTCAAGGAAAAATGGAGTGTCAGAAGTGCAAAAAGGATATTGCCAAGTGGATCTGTGACGACAAAAAGTGTGGCAATATTCCTCTTTGTGATTTTTGCAGAGAAGCACACAGAAGGCAGGAAGATACAGAGGATCATCAAGTACTGGAGATTGATCCTGAGAAAGATTGGTGGAAATACGTTAAACGTCGTACATGGTTCTGTTTCAAGCATTCAGGTCGTCTTGTTGATGTGTACTGTAGTTTTCATGATGTTGTAGTCTGTGAGAAGTGTGCTCTTGTAGATCACACCAATACTGAGTGTAATTTAAAAGAAGTTGATGATGTTGATGCTGATCCTGATAACAGGAAGGTTTTAGGGCTACAGAAGGTTGAGGAGTTGAATCATAGGTTTCGATCAGCTATTGAGGAAGGAAAGGATATCAAGAGAACTTTAGAAACAAACCGTGATAAAGTTATTGCTGCTCTTAATAAAAGGTACAATCAATTAGTGGAACAGCTAACCGTTGAGAGAGATGAAGCAATAGCTAAAGCTAATCTTATCTGTGACCTCAAAAAGAAAGAAATTGATGATCACCAGACAGTATTGAAACGTGTAACAGAGACACTGGAAGACAGCTTGGAGTTCATTAAGGATTACACTGATATTGCTAATTCAGCTGAGTTTATGTTTCTTAAGACTCAGCTAAAGCAACGACTAGATTACCTTGATGACCGCTACAGTACCTTTGACTTATCACCAGCAGATGATGATGAGCTGTATTTGAAGCCAAGCAATGATGACCTTCCTGCTAATATTCTTGGTATAGTTCGTAGCACACCTTGTGTTAAGAAGTTTAGAGTAAAAGATCAATTCCAGAAGTCTGATGGTGGTTTATATATTACGATTGAATGTTGTGATATAGCTGGTAGTCATGTATCTATGCGTGTACTACCAACGCTGATGGCTGTTGTCACTCCAGAGAATGGAGAGATAGATGATGGTGTAACTTGTCAAGTAAAGCCTAATCGTGGCAATGGGTGCTATGTGGTATCTGTTCCAGCTAATGAAGATGGTGGAAACAAGAAACTTCACATTTACCAACCTAGGCCATTTCCTCATAGGCAGTACCATATACGAGGCAGTCCTTTCAGATTCAGTTCAGCACCACCATCAAAGACATTATTGCATGCAAGGATCTTAATCCATTTGTAATGGCACCACAAGATAATGATGTTTATAACTTTTATATTGTTGTTTGTCACAATTAGAATTGCTATATTAGATCTACATGCTATTGCATTGTTTTTGCTAAGATTTATTTTTTGTTGAAAAATGGTTGAATACAATTCATTGTTTAAATTTATTTATAATAGTCAGTTCCTGCTTCAGTTGGTGATTTATCGTATGATCTGGTCTCTGTATTGACACCAAGTGGAGAGTCATTCATTCAGAGTACATCATATGTTCCTCTGCTTCGTTTTGCTCCTCAAGAAGCTTTAGCAAACATCTATCAACTCTACTGGGAGTAAGAACAGAATAACTATAATCAAGCACTTATTCAATTATCTATTTATTATCATTTACATAATAGTACTGAGAAAGGTTTGGTGCAATTGGAATCACAAGTAAACTCAGTGAAAGATGTCACTGGCAGGCTTGGCTCTAATAAGGAATGGACTGATCCTTCATTGAGACTGTGGTCCTTGAATGATAGTATCACTGATGTTCATGATGCCATTCTACTGAGAATGAACACAGTGAGTTGCATGTTGTCTTTGATGTTTTATTTATTATTATTATTACTTTGATGTTTTATTTATTATTGTTTTATTATTATTAGTATTGGTATTAGTATTTTTTATTATTTTTAATTTTTATTAAAGAATGCCAGTGAGGACAATGATTTACGTCTACTGTCTGAAGCTATTGTAAGCTACCTTCAACCTGCTCTCTATGCTTTACTGGATGCTCCCACTCCACTCTACAATGCAAGACAGTCACTGATAAAATCTTTTACTGCTACTGACTCTGCTTTTGACCTACTGACCATTGCGTAAGTACAGGACCTACCTTTTAAAATTTTATTATTATTTTTATTTATTTTATCTAAAGGTATGAAGCTACTCGTTCAAGTCTTGATACCATATTTGGTCAAGTTGTTCATCCTGGGTTTCCAGTTTCCCTAAAGCCCTGTGACGAGACCTATGGGTGTGGTTATTATCCCAGCACAACTGGTGACCTTTATAGAAATGGAATTGACCTGACTCTACAGGGAGAAATGGTAGATGAAACCTTATTTGTAATTCCGATATTTATCTTCTTTATTTTTAGATTATAGCTCCTTTTTCTGGTTACGTCCAGTTATTTGATGACTCTGTTTTACACAACAGTAGTCTCTACTCTTATAGCCCTAATAACACCATCATGATAACACCAACTGAGTTTTCAATGGATTCTTATACCATCATTATTTCAAACATGATCCCATCAAATGGTATAATACAGTAGTTGCGTAATGAATCACATTTAAAATGCTTTCATCTCTCTCTCTCTCCTTGCTTACTTTTTCTATCATGTATAGTTCTTTCTTCCAGCCCATTATTCATCAAAGGAGGCATGGAGCTTGGTTCAGCTAGCTCACTTGCTGGAAAATCAACCATTCACGTTGAAGCCTACAAATCAACAACCGAAGCTCCCGGAACACTTTACCCCCAGGACCCCTCTCAGTTCCTTCCCCGGACTGTAAACCCCACTGCATCTGTCAGCTGGAGCTGTAATGAGATAGCTACAATCATTAATGGAGCAGTCGTTGATTTGACTACTGCAGTCACCAATGAGCCAGTGCAGACTCTAGTTGGGGACCCACTGGTGGATTTCAGTATTGCACACGAGTTCCCTCAACCTTATGACATAATTCTAAAAGATAATAAGACAATATCATCTCAGACTAACGTTGCTTTTTTTGAGAGTTCTACATCGTTAACAGTCGGTCCTATACCAGTCTCTTTCAGTAAGCATTGTAGAATAATTATCATTAATTTAAGTATACCCACTTGTATTATTTTATGTTTTCCAATATTCATTCATTTTTATGTCTTTTAATTGCAGCATTCACTTCAACTGGTCATTATATGACAAACTTCTCATTTGAGTCTCAGTTCCTCTCAGAGGAGGTTGAGGTCAGACTGAGTCCTCAGGTCTGGTCATCAGTCAATGGTAGCATGAGAGTTGGTTCAGCTACTTTTGCACTAGTAGAGATAGGGGGGACACTCATTGATGCAACACTCCCTCTCACTATCAAGCAAAACTTTAGCACATGGCCACTAACAGCCAGGTATATATAACATTAAATGAATAAGAATAAATATATATTTATTTTAATTCTATTATTTTTGTAGTTGTGATATGGAGTTGATGACTGATAATACGAGAATGAATCTAACTACTAAACTAGCTCAGTTGACTGGTGGAGGTGGGGGAGTATCTAACGAAGAAACACTTGACTTTCAAGTTCCCTGGGAGTACTCAATACCTTACATTAACAGAGATGAGTTTGAGCAAACAGGCACCTTAGCCGATCCATCTCCCCCATATTTTCTCTCCCTTGCTCATCGTAACAATTCCTACTGTCACGTGGAGCAATTGATTGGACGGAAATATCATAATCCTGCCTTTGAATTAGAGTTTCGTATTGATGAAGGAGAGAGCATAACTGATAAGAAATATAAAGTGGGCACATACTCTGATGGTGCTAATGTTCTACCATTGACTGGATTGTATGGAGAGAGGATTGTATTGCCTCACTCGCTGGTACAAGGCCTAAGACTATTTTTCACTGTCATATCAGTCAATGAGGATGGAGATACAACTCAAGCAGAGTGTCAGTTGTCAACTTATGATTCTTCACCTCCGCTGGGTAGCGTAGTACCTGTAGCAAGTTTCACGAGTCATCCTAACCAGTTCTTAGTCTTCCTCTCATTGTTTGATGAAGCTCAGCTACTTGAGGAGCAAGAGATTGCTATTGGAACTGAGGCTGGAGCTGATGGAAGTGATATTGTTGATTGGACGACATTTGAGCTATCACTAATCAACAATGAACCTTTTGGGACTGGACTGGACCTGTACTCTTTCCCAATGGTAATAAAATAATAATAATAACTTTCTTTTACATATTTTATTTATATTTGCTTTCTTTTTTATAGAGAGGAAGGCTAGTTAGTGACATTATTACATGGCATACTGACGTTGATACTCCTACTGATTGTGCTGATCTCTGTACTTCTGACAGTTTCTGTCTCTCGTTTGATCACTCTCTCGGTCAGAAACGTTGTGTCCTTCATTCTACTATCCTCGGTCCTTCCTCTGACATCAGTGGTGTTCCGTTTTTGAATTCCTTTAGTACGGAGTCTCTCAAAGTCTTCCAAGATTTCTATCATTACGAGAAGCTTGGTCTCGGGAACTCAACCATGTTCACTTTCAGTAACTTAACCCTTGAACATCGAAGAACCTTTTATGTTAACATGAGACTGAGAGATGCCCTTGGATACACTAGTGTAGTATCATCAGCAGCTGTGAGGGTTGACCTGAGCCCTCCTTTCCCTGGCCTTATTCTCAATGCTGCTAGTGATGCATTGAGTAATGAAGCCTGTGGCTTTAATGTTGGGCAGTACTGCAACGAGTATGGTCCTACAACACCAGTTGATAATCACAGGTAAATGAACAAATACCAATGAAATATAATGAAATGGATTTTTTTCTTAATTCTCATTATTTAGGGTCATTGTTGATGGTACTGGATCTGCCACTGTGTTCAATGGTCCTATACAACTAGTGGACACTTTATATACCAAAGCAAACACTTTTATGACTGGTAAGTATAGCGTACTTCTTTTCTTATGCTTTCATGTTCACATTGATTCATCCTTTAGCTAATTGGGATGGTTTCAATGACAGGGAGAGTGGTCTCAGAAGCTATACCTGGTGCATCAGTTCAGCCAGTAACCACACTTGTGACATACTCCCTCCTACCGACCCTCACTCTGGCCTATCGGATCAATATTGGAGCCACAACGGTCTAGCCAAGACTGATCTACTGGACGGAGAGTATTATATAACAGTAGAGGTGATTAATGGAGTTGGGTATGGTGGATCAATGGTGACTATGGTACACCATAGTGTACCTTATATTGTGGACACTCAACCTCCAGTCATTGGATCATTCAGTGTTGTATATTATGATATTAATAGCAATTTGCTTAATGTCTCATTTCTTATTAGGTAAGTTATGTGGCAATAAAGCACATAAAATTTTATTATTTTTTGTTTTTTTTTTCAGTGATGCTGGTTCTGGTGTCCATCAAGTGAGGATAGGAGTTGGAAGGACACCAGATGATGTCAATATCTTTCCGTGGGCACTAGTAACAAGTGATAGGGACAACGTACTCAATACTGAATCAATAGAGGTGTATATACCTGATGGAGTGAACGGTTGGGTCAAACTACAAGTCACTGATAATGGTAAATGTATAAATATGAAATAATAATGATACAATAGTGATAACAGTATAACATTTTAGCTGTATATTTTGTTTAATTTAATACTTATTCTTTTAGTTGGCCTACGTGAGGGTGTGACAGTATCAGAGCCAATCAATATAGACAGGACTCCTCCACTAGTTGGGGCTGTGTATGATGCTCGCATACACGATGGGTCAAATGTAGCAGGTGACGTCAACTATCAATCCAACAATAGTCACATTTGTGTCTCGTGGAGTGGATTCTCAGATCCAGAGTCACTAATAGTCTCATATCAATGGAGCATCGGTTCGTCCCCAGGGAGCGAGAGCCTCCTTCAGCTTCAGAACTTGACAGATGATGAAGTCAGAGAGAGATTAGCATGTGAGGATGTTGTTCTCAGTCACGGGATGACTTATTACTCAACTCTACTGGTCACTAATGGAGCTGATCCTCCATTGAGCTCAATGGGCTACTCTAATGGAAGTAAGTAGAAATATTTTACTTTATAAATCATTAATTATATATTTTCTTTTTAGTTACAATAGATACCAGTCCTCCTATAGCTGGTACAGTGACTGATGGAGGCTCTCCTAGTGGTGGCGATATTGACTTTTCAAATAGTCTAACTGATGCATCCTTCCATTGGAGTGGCTTCAATGATCCCCAGTCATTGATACAACAGTACACTGTACACATATACAGGCAGCCTTTAAACTCAATGGAACCTATAATCATTCATTCAGAGACTATAGAAGATGGAAGCATCTCTTCTTACTCTAGCAATCACTTTAGTTTCTCTGCTGGGGATAGAGTTTATGCTACTATAGTGGCAGTTAATCATGCAGGACTATCTGTCAATGGATCATCTAATGGTTCTAGGATTGATGTCACTCCTCCAGTATTGACTAGTTTAGTTGACGGGTTGCAAGAAGGCTCTGATATTTCTTACCAGTCCTCCACTCAGACACTCTCTGTCACTGGGTCTGCCACTGATGATGAGTCCAGCATAGTCCAGGTGGAGGTTGCTTATTTCAGAGTTCTTGAGGGAATAAAGACACGAGTGTTTCCAGATCCTGATCTTGAAGATGATCCAACTTACGTACTTCCATCCCTTTCCATCAGTCACACTGCTACTGGACTGAGCCTAGTCAATGGTGCTAAGTATATAGCCAGTGTTACCCTGAGGAATGGAGCTGGATTGAGCTCCACATACGAAACTGATGGTGTATTCATAGACTCTAGCCCTCCAGTAGTAACACTGGTGACAGTGTATGGTAGCATGAGTAATGAGGATCCAGTAAGCACCAGTCCTACAGAGCTAAGAGTTGATTGGTATGGATCAGATATCGGCAGTGGCATAATCCAGTATCTGGTCTCAGTCTTGAATGAAGACGGGAGTGTTGCTGTACCTTCTATTGATTATGGTGGATCAGAGGGTAGCCTCATTACTGGATTGAACCTCACTGAAGGAAGCAGTGCCAGTGGTCCTTTTTATAAAGTATCTGTTGTTGCAGTTGATGGAGCAAACTTGTCATCCGTAGCTGTTGAATCAAACTCATTCTGGTATGTAGATTCACACTAATTATTTAATTTTTAATTGCTCTGTCTTTCAGGGTTAATGCTCAGGATCCAGTTGGTATAGTTCAAGATGGTTTTGATCCTCAAGTTGATGTCGATTTTGTCGACGAATATTATTCCGTCACTGCTCACTTCCGTGGGTTTTTCAGTGAAGACTGCGGAGGGTTTTCAGATTACATGTGGTCTGTTGGGACTTTAGAAGACAGGGAAGCTGTCCTACCCTTTACTAGGGAAGGGATTGTCCTTACCAGCGAGGGAGCTGGATCTGCTCAAGTTAGTATTTTATAATTAATTTATAAATTTATAATTGCTTAAGAGAGTTCACTTTTTTATTGTATATTCTCTTTTTTACATAGATATATCTTCCTGGTCTTGAAAGCTTTGACTCTACCCTGCTACTAGTGACATTTCGTGGCATCACTGGCTGCGGGTCAACTTTTGATTCAGTGTCTGATGGATTCATCATTTATAAAAGCCCTCCCTTCCTCTCCATCATTGAGACTGGCCCTTTCTCTATAGAGAATTCACTAATAGCCGATGCAGAGAGGTCACACGATACTTACCAATCACTAACGTCTTTCTCTTCTCTATTTGAAGTGAACGGGTCCCTCATAGGAGAAGGAGGCGTAGGAAGAGGACAAGAGATTGAGAGTGTGAGAGTTAAAGTTGGTAGTTATCCTAGAGGGGATGACCTGATGAATGAGACTGATGCTCTTGGAGGAGGAGGAGAAGGAGTGAGCAGGTATTATATTCGTGATGAGCTAAGAGGAGGCGAAGGTGTTCCTAACTATGTTACTGTGACTGCAATCAATTCTGCTGGACTGTTGAGTGAAGCTATCAGTGAGCCATTGGTGCTTGATACAAGCTTACCACCTAAAGGAAAGGTAATGCATTAATGCTAATACACATTCATAGTTAGTCAAGCATGGTTGCACTATTATTTAGGACAATGATAACTATTTTTTTACACATTTCTATGTTTTATTCTTTTTATAGATCACTTGCTCTGAAATATTAAAGTCATCATGCACAGATACCACTCCAGTCTCGTCAATACAACTGATATGTCAATGGACTGGTACTATTGATCTACAGAGTCCAATACAGGGCCACACCCTCTCAATATCAACCGACCAATCAGACCATTCGAAGATACTTTCCCGGGAGATCCCAGGTAACGAGCAGTCGTTTGTGTCCCCAGTACTCAGTGCTCGAACCAGTTCAGTTTATTACGTAACACTATACGTTAGGAATGAGGCAGGTCTTACTAATATACTGAGTACCAGTATCAGTAGTGAGTGCAACAGTACGGGACCCATTGGGGCTGGTGCTGTTAGTGTTAGACCTAACATTGCTAGTGGTGGGTATGATGGTGAGACAGTAACAGATAAAGTCATTGATTGGTCGAGTAGTGCTGTTTGCCTGTGGAACACTAACTCTCTTCTTATCAGTTTCAGTCCATTTACTGGTGACGAGATTAGTGAGTATCAGTTAGGAATAGGGATCTATCCTTCTGCTGGTGATGTGTTGAATTTTAGTTCTATTTCTCCCTACCTGCAATCAGGATTATACGAGTATCAGCTTGATCTACTGACTATTGATTCTGATATTAGAGGCCCGGTCTATTTTACTATAAGAGCTTTTAATGCTAGAGATCAATACGCTGATATTAACTCTGATCCGATTTATATCAAATCAGATTCAAACAGCATCAGTTCAATGGTATACGATGGTCCAGATCCTCAGTCAGATATTGATTTTCAGCCATCACTTGCTTATTACAGTGGCAGCTTTCATTATGGAGTTAATTGTCCTCTTAAATCCCTTCAGTGGGGGCTGGAAGGAGCTGATGGGCTGATGGTTAAGAATATGAGTGATGTCTCACTAGTAGATAGTGAGGAGCTAGAGACTGTGTTCACATTTAGCAGTAATCAAGTTGACCTTCATAATGATGAGACATACAGGATTGTAGTGAGAGGTAAGGGCTATTATGAGTAGCTACATATAATAATTGGGAAAGATCTTTTTGTCTGAAAATTGGCTCGTTTTCAAAAATGCTTATGTTGGAATCAGCTCAAACTTTCTACACAGCATAAAGACATCAATATGTATCAAAAAATGTAATAAAAATTTGGGGTGATTTTGGAGTTGTTTTTTGGAAAAAAAACCATGGGCTATAGCCTTGGGTAATTTTAAAAAAATGGCTCGTTTTTAAAAATGGTCATAACTCGAAAAATATTTGTCGGAATTGACTCAAACTTTGTAGACAGCATAAAGACGTTATTACCTATCAAAAAATGTAATAAAAATTGGGGGCAATTTCAGACCCATTTTTTGGAAAAAACCATGGGCTATAGCCTTGGGTACTTTTCAAAAATTGGCTCGTTTTTAAAAATGGTCATAACTCGAAAAATATTTGTCGGAATCAACTCAAACTTTCTACACAGTATAAAAACGGTATTACCTATCAAAAAATTTAATAAAAATTGGGGGCAATTTTGGAGCCATTTTTTGGAAAAAACCATGGGCTATAGCCTTGGGTAATTTTCAAAAATTGGCTCATTTTTTAAAATGGTCATAACTCAAAAAATATTTGTCGGATTCGACTCAAACTTTCTACACAGCATAAGGACATCAATATGTATCCAAAAATGTAATAAAAATTTGGGGTGATTTTGGAGCCATTTTTTGGAAAAAACCATGGGCTATAGCCTTGGGTAATTTTCAAAAATTAGCTCATTTTTTAAAATGGCCGTAACTCAAAAAATTAAAGTCAGAATCAGCTCAAACTTTCTACACAGCATAAAGACATTATTACCTATCAAAAAATGTAATAAAAATTGGGGGCAATTTTGGAGCCATTTTTTGGAAAAAACCATGGGCTATAGCCTTGGGTAATTTTCAAAAATTGGCTCATTTTTTAAAATGGTCATAACTCAAAAAATATTTGTCGGATTCGACTCAAACTTTCTACACAGCATAAAGACATCAATATGTATCCAAAAATGTAATAAAAATTTGGGGTGATTTTGGAGCCATTTTTTGGAAAAAACCATGGGCTATAGCCTTGGGTAATTTTCAAAAATTAGCTCATTTTTTAAAATGGCCGTAACTCAAAAAATTAAAGTCAGAATCAGCTCAAACTTTCTACACAGCATAAAGACATTATTACCTATCAAAAAATGTAATAAAAATTGGGGGCAATTTTGGAGCCATTTTTTGGAAAAAACCATGGGCTATAGCCTTGGGTAATTTTCAAAAATTGGCTCATTTTTTAAAATGGTCATAACTCAAAAAATATTTGTCGGATTCGACTCAAACTTTCTACACAGCATAAAGACATCAATATGTATCCAAAAATGTAATAAAAATTTGGGGTGATTTTGGAGCCATTTTTTGGAAAAAACCATGGGCTATAGCCTTGGGTAATTTTCAAAAATTAGCTCATTTTTTAAAATGGCCGTAACTCAAAAAATTAAAGTCAGAATCAGCTCAAACTTTCTACACAGCATAAAGACGTTATTACCTATCAAAAAATGTAATAAAAATTGGGGGCAATTTTGGAGCCATTTTTTGGAAAAAACCATGAGTTATAGCCTTGGGTAATTTTCAAAAATTGGCTTGTTTTAAAAATGGTCATAACTCAAAAAATCAAAGTCAGAATCAGCTCAAACTTTCTACACAGCATAAGGACATTATTATGTATCAGAAAATGTAATAAAAATTTGGGGTGATTTCGGAGCCCTTTTTTGGAAAAAACCATGGGCTATAACCTTAGGTAATTTTCAAAATTGGCTCGTTTTTAAAATGGCAGTATCTCGAAAAATATTTGTCGGAATCAACTCAAACTTTCTACACAGTATAAAGACGTTATTACCTATCAAAAAATGTCATAAAAATTGGGGGCAATTTCGGAGCTATTTTTTGGAAAAAACCATGGGCTATAGCCTTGGGTAATTTTCAAAAATTGGCTCATTTTAAAAATGACCGTAACTCGAAAAATATTTGTCGGAATCGACTCAAACTTTCTACACAGTATAAAGACGTTATTTCCTATCAAATTATGTAATAAAAATTGGGGGCAATTTTGGAGCCATTTTTTGGAAAAAACCATGGGCTATAGCCTTGGGTAATTTTCAAAACTTGTCTTGTTTTTAAAAATGGTCATAACTCGAAAAATATTTGTCAGATTCAACTCAAACTTTCTACACAGCATAAAGACATTATTACCTATCAAAAAATGTAATAAAAATTGGAGGCAATTTCGGAGCCATTTTTTGGAAAAAACCATGGGCTATAGCCTTGGGTAATTTTCAAAAATTGGCTCGTTTTTTTAAATGGCCGTAACTCAAAAAATTAAAGTCAAAATCAGCTCAAACTTTCTACACAGCATAAGGACATCAATATGTATCAAAAAATGTAATAAAAATTTGGGGTTATTTTGGAGCCATTTTTTGGAAAAAACCATGGGCTATAGCCTTGGGTATTTTTTAAAAATTGGCTCATTTTTTAAAATGGCCGTAACTTTAAAAATTAAAGTTGGAATCAGCTCAAATTTTCTACACAGCATAAAGACATTATTATGTATCAGAAAATGTAATAAAAATTGGTGGTCATTCTGGAGCCATTTTCAAAAGTTGGCTTGTTTCTTAAATCTTCATGACTCAAAAATTTTTAGTTGAAATCAGCTCAAACTTTGCTAGCATAAAAAATTCAATGTCTCTTTTACTTAGTTTTTTCTTATTCTTTCACTAGGTGTTGATTATACCAACGTGGTTCACATATTTAGGAGCAATGGCTCCGGAGCAACGCTCCAGCAACTCCAGCCTGGTTCAGTCTCTGACGTGAGCTCGCTGGATCTCAGATATCAAGAACCACTCACCTCCATATCATTCCGTATCTCTGGCTTTGGAGACGGAAGCCCCGAGCAAGAGGTCTCGTACTACGAAGCGGCACTTGGCTCAAATTCCGAGTACTCCAGCACTAGGTCTGATATTATTCCTTTCACGTACATTGGTCTAAATACGAGCCATGCTTTCACTGGTCTCAATCTAGTCTCTCAATCACAGACATACTACGTTACTGTTCGTGCTCATTCTGTCTCTGGTTCTGTAGCTCAAGTCACATCAAATGGTTTCAGGCCTGGCTATGGCTCACAGATACTAGCTGGTAGGATAGTACAGCCTTTGTTCCAATCCAACACCACTTACCTAAGAGTTTGGTGGGAAGGATTCCAATCTGATGTACCTATACTGTCATACGAATGGGCAGTATCTAGTAGAATCCTCAACAAGTCTCTGTTGTCTTCTTTTTGTGATGATTTTTCTGATGATCACTCAGATCAGTTTGTCCATGGTTTTGAGAATATTGGTACTAGCAGTTTTGCAGCTTCGACTAGACTCTCCCTCTCACACAATGTTTCCTATTATGTAGTTCTGCGTGTACTTGACGAGGCTAGCAAGTGTAAGGCCTTTATATCAAACTCACCAACACTCATTGATACCACACCTCCTAATCCACCCCCAACTTCAACACTAGTCGGACCAATTGAATCATACAGTGTTAGCAGAGATCAGTATATTGCTTATATCGGATCATATCAGTCATTAACACTGATTTGGGATCAGTTCACTGATTTTGAGAGCTCTGTTGAATCATACAGTGTTGGCCTGTTTATTCTTGAGTCTTGTGGTAGCGAAGGTTTTTCGTTGGGACCTTTGGTTGTAGATTATGTTCCTGTGGAACAGAGCACCTCGTACACATTTGCATCTCTTAATTTGAGTCCCAATGTGACATACGTTGCTAGAATACAAGCAAGAAATAGAGCTGGTTTGACTAGCTATAAACTCTCAGAGCCAGTAATGCTAGACTACTACACAGTGACCTCAGGTACTGTTAAAGATGGTAGGGATTGGAGCAATGATGCTGTATTTCAGAGTGACATTACAAGCCTCTCTGGCATATTCTCAATCGCTTTCTCTCAGCCTGAGTATGATGAAGAGAGGAGAGGATTAGATGCTAACAGTCCTTGCCCTACTAGTCATTATTATTCACTATCCACTCCTAGTTCTGACTGGTCTAGTCAGCCTCCATCCAGCACAGATGGGCTCTTGTCATCTTCCATTCGTTATGAAGCTGGTCAGACAAGCAATGAAGGAAATGGTACAAGGATCAATGTTGATATCGATACTACTAGGAAGCAAATGATTTCTGGCCTGTATAGTACGGAACTAAACTCAACCCTTGAATGGAACACTGTCTCTTTAAATATCGCATCAAATAACGGTGACAGTGTTTTGAGACCACATATGATAACATCAGTCTTGTTTATTGATGCTATGTCTGACGGTCTCCTTGTTGCTCATGATCAACCTTTCTCATCTTCGTTCAAAGCAGTTGGTCTCCAATTGAATCATAACCATACAAATGGGCAAGGATCTCATATAGTACTCTGGTCTAAGGATGGGAGTGGGTCTGAAGTTCAGTCTATTGCACGTAATGTCAGTTTAAACCTCTCAGAAACCCATCGCTACAAGTTTAGATTCACAGCCGAGACATTAGGACTCTCCTACAGGAGGAGTGTTGAGTTATATATTGATGATACACTGTATGCTACGCTCTATGGAATACCAAGCTTCACTGATAGTGTTAGGATGACCCTACACATGTTCAATCATAATGGCTATGTTATTCCTTGTGACTCTGCTTGTGCTAGTGATACTCCTCAAGTTTATTCAATATTTTCGAGTGTTTCGGTTCATAAAGCAACAGGGAGTGTCTGCGATTATGGAGATCCTTTTTACAGCTGGAGTGCACCAATCATTAGACTAGAAGCAAGCGTAGGGACTCAGCCAGGTTCTACTGATGTCAAAGATTTTGAGGTAAAGAAAAAGATATGCAAGTAGAGCAGAGTGTAATATAAGATCCCCAGCAAGTATACTAACTAGAAATGCAATTTGATTCAGTTTGCGATAAGTGACATAATTATATGTTGTGTAGAAAGTTCAAGCTATTTCCAGTAAAATTTAAATTTTTAGGAATTTTTAATTTCCTTCAAATTTTACACCATTATTATTTTTATTTATTATCTAGGTTGTTTATAATCCTTGTCTTCCCTGTCAGCCTATACCATGCTATCAATATGCCTGTAACATCTCATGCCCTGGGGATGATGATCCACTAACTCTATCCTTTACATTTGCTTACACGAATGAAGAGACTGAGCTATACAGTGGCAGCACTCCTAGCAATGTCCCTGTACCTGACGAGCCTGTAATACTATCACTACCTCACACTCTATCACCAACTGTTTATTACATTAATGTAAAAGCTACATCAGCTTCAGGTCGAACCGCGACGTCCTCATCTAACGGGATCCTAATTGATGTAACCCCTCCCTCTCTCTCTCTACCCATCTTGCACTATGATGTGGCCTTCTCCCTCACTCAACCAACAAACTATCAAGGGAACAATCACACGGTCTCGGCTAGCTGGGGCTTTTATGATGATGAGAGCGGAATTACCGAGTACCTCTGGGCAATAGGGACAGAGAGGTTTGGTGAAGACATTCAAGAATATACAAGTGTCGGTTTAGATAATCAGGCATATAATGACAGTCTTGAGGATATACTTGTCCCCAATACAGTATACTATGTATCAGTAAGGGCAAGGAATGGAGCAGGTCTTACCAGTACCTACAGCAGCAGTGGGATCACTTATCTTCTTATTGAGCTCAACAGGACAATGCTTGATTTGTTGGTGATTATTGATCACGTTGATGCACTGACCGGTATCAGACTTAATGGAATAATACAAACTGTGTTTAAAGGTGATAGGGAAGACAGTGCTGGTGTGGAGTGGACTGGTACCCCTCCTAATATATCAACAGTCTGTAAGTGACATTACATTTACTACCACTACTATGTAGTCTCTAAATTTTATTGCACATATTGATTGTACCCTGTGCTATGCAGAAAGTTTAAGCTGTTCATAAAAAGGTTAATTTGTAAATTATTATCATATTTTTGTTTTTATAGACTGGTATATTGGAAGCGAGCCATCACAGACTGACATTCTCCCAAGACTTGATGTAAGCTATGATGATGCCCACTCTGCTTTATTGAGAAGTGGCATACTCTATCTTGATGGACTTGCATTCAGTAATATATCTGACTTAACTGCTATAGCTGATGGGACAGACCCCAGTACAACTGGTCCTTTATATTTTGAACCTGGGAGACCTTTCTTTCATACAATAGAGTTTTGTACCTTTGCTCATAACTGTGAGACTAGTGATCCAAGAGCTGCCATTATCATCAGTAAGTTTGTAAAACAAGTATAATTTCTTAATGTACATCCAATTAGAATGTTACAAAGTTTCATTTTCCTTTTATTCTTTTTTTATAGGGCAGAAAGATGCTCAGCATGAATCAAAATTAGGAGAAGACATATCACTGTCACTATACCAGATCAACCCACTCACAACCAATGCCTCCATACTTGATGATAACTACACACTGATCATTAACACTAATGGTGGACTCCAGACTGGAACTATGCTTTATGCTGGTTTTCTATCAGAAGCTGATGTGACGAGATCTTATAGAGTGAATGTCCCTTATATCAGTAATCCTTACACCACTATTGATCAAACGAGCCGCTCTATTGCTAGAAGATTGACTGGAGTAGGCGGACCAAGTTTCTATGTATCATTGCTAGGGCAGGATAATCTTGAGGGAGAGCTCGCAATTAATGTAACCTTTGATACAGGACTTGATTGGTCAGAGTCAGAGCCTATACTAGTGTATTGGGACATTGGTAAGTAGCAGTAAATTTGAACGTGCTGATAAAGCTTTTGTTGTAATGCATTTATAGACGAAAGCATATGGAGAGAAGTGAAGAGTACATGTGGTACTGAGTCCAAGGTTGACTTTATGACTGGAACTATCAGTGTAGACGTAAGCCCTTTACATTA